GGAAGCTGCAGCCCAGAGACAGAAGGCTGGAGAGTGATGTCTCAACTAGGTGGTGTCCTGATGACATCATTGTGTTACGTGTACTCATCTTATGTCATTTAAATTGTATTTATCCTACGACCTTTATCACCAATTAAAAAAGCATAACTCAAGTAATCGTTGCAGTTTCTGATGAGTTGAGAGTCACACCAAAAAGCTTCTACATGGCAGTCTGCCTTCAGAAGGACATCACTCAAGTAAGTGACTAAAAACTGACCATTTGGTCGACAACAATCTGCTGGAAACAACATCAACAAGACATTATGCCTCCTTAATGTGAACAGTGGTGTTAGCCTGGCCACCACCACCATGAGAACGGACTCATCTGCATAACACATGTACAGAGACTTGTTTTTATTCAGTTAACAGGTTTTTCAGGTTCGTCAGAGTGAACTCATCCTTCTAACCAAAACCTGGATGAGTGGTGCTTGTATTTACTATCGAGCTGCCTGGAACAACACCCTCAAATCGTTAGATTCACTAATCAATCAACTCGTTTGCACATTTTTGTGCCTCAGAAGGTAACTTTATATTATCATTGTTCTTATGCCTTTTATCTGACCAACTTTCTGCTCCTGCTACTAAACCGATCCCCGCCAACGGTTCCTGATCTCTTATCTCCAGGTGACTGCTCTGAAGCTGTAGCAGACCTTTAGCAGTTGTTCAAACACAGAGTCCATCTATGTGTGTGTGTGTACTCTCTGCATGGATACACTATGACCACAGAGCCAACAAAAGAGCTATTCAGGGAAGAAGCAACAGCAAAGTATGTGGTGGGTGTGATTGTTTTGAAGAGGCATCTGTGTAGATGGCTGCTCTCTTTTGCATCCTTCACCATTCCCACTGGACGTAAATGTACCGATTCTGATATTTGTGTTGTAATGGAGATTAGGAGACTAAGAGAACGAGTTAGGGATTAGTAAAGTCTGTGTTTAATGAAGCCGAAAAGGGGTAGGTGAGGAAAGGAGGTGAACTTTCCAGAACAAACACTGGGAACACCCCTGATCAAAAACTACGTAATCACATACCGTACCTTGAAGGCCGAGGAACACGGGCAACACATTCCTCTGATGATTAGAAAATCACCAAAACAAGCCACTGCTCTCTGAAGTAAAACCTTACAAGGATTAGAAGTGAAAAACACACGTAGATTGGACACTAGCTTGCAGCAGAGGCGGAGGTGGCTGGTTCAGACCACAGACTGTATAAAACATGGATGGGAAGTAAAACCAAAGCAGAAACTACTCAAAGCTGCATTCTTTCAAACAGCCAGCAGGCGGTGAGTCATCTGGCTGCACAACGAAGTATGATTGTGACTCTACTTCTCCCTCAGTCTGTTACCTCAGTACATGTTTTTAAATGGGTTTATGGTCTCAATCACTAGTTTCAAGTTTCCTCCAATACAGCAGGATGCTCACTTCATAAATTATGGTCCTATTTAGAGGACAATAGATGATAGCGTGGGTTATGTTTTTGTGCAATCGTAGTCAGATTCACCCACTTGCTCGTCACACGGTCAAAAGACGAGTCACAAGCCAAATGTAAGGGTTCACATGTGGGCTTAGTGCCCAAACCAGTGTGTGACATCAATCTATGGTCCACTGCACATTGTCTCAATAGCCATTGGATGGATTGCCATTGAATTTAAATGATGATCCTCAGACTTAGCATTTAACGCTATCATCAGGCCAAGGATTCTCCAAGTTAGCAATTGTTAGCGTGCTACACTCAAACTAAAGACAGTCAACATGCTAAACGTTACTGAACGTTGCTCATGCTGCTTTCATGTCATAAAGTTTCCATGATTACGAGTTCCAGTATAGTATTGCTGTGCATATTAGCCAGACATTTGGCCCGAAGCCGAGCTGTGATGAAGCCTCACAGAGCTGCTGGTCTGGCTAATGAGTCTTAGACGCGTTTACAAGGCTTTTACAGAGTTCAGCTGCTTTTTAATGACATTTATAAACAGGAACGTGAGAGCTGGCAGGTGTGTGTAGACAGTAAATAGCCTAATGGATCAAATGTGTGGTTATGACAGTTCAGACAGATTTGATATCAGTAACTGTAATTATGTCTGTTGTCTGGTGACTGTGTTCAGCTATCGTGCTGTCAGTTGTTTGTAGTGTGTCTGTTAGCACCTGAAGCCACAACAGGTTCTTTGTCCTTCAGTGCTTAACGGTCTCAAACTCACCTGTCTGCCTGACTGATGTGTTATTGACTAGAGCTACAAAAACACTCCTATCTGCTGCTTGTCAAGCCCGACAGCTGCTCCTCCCATCAACACACTCACTCACGCTTTATCCTGTCGAACCCATTAAACCGTACTTCTTCTTTCGTGATGAGCGGACCAACCAGTTTGACGTGTTTTTTGCAAACAGCAGCCTCAGCAGCTGACGGTGACTCACTGCTATAGTAACCCAGAGAAACTCCCAGTGTGACATAAGCTCACAATCAGGCCAGTGCTCAGCTGAATCAAAAACGCTCGACATGGTTTTTACTGCGGTTTGGGCAGCGCTGCTGCACACTCACATGATGTTGTTGTTGTCTCCCACTTACCCGTGCACTTGCAGAAATCATTGCCTGTGGCAACAGTGCTGCTTCCAAATGAACCTGTTCCCAGAGCGAGCAAATAAACCCGAGTGTGTTGGTGGAGGAGGCTCAGAGGAGGTGAATGACAGAAAGGTTAGGGACTCACTATGTATCTGTACTGGCTATCTGGAGTCTGAGTGGGAAGTTGTTCATTTGAACTACTGATTTAGGGACCGTGTAAAAATGATCCCACTTTACAGCTGTAATAAAAAGGAAAATTAACTATAAAGACCAAAACTTTTTCATACCGTGCTTATTTCTGCTATACAGTTGGACATTGAATCCTTGGGAATGACTTACGGTTAGAGCCAGCCTCAAGTGATCATTTGAAGAAGTGCAATCTTTGGCACTTAGCTTCATTTTTCAGCGCTGGATGCTGCCACTTGGGTTTGACAAGGACTGGAAAATACTAGACTACTGTCCCTACCTACCCTTCAGGTTGCTGAGTCCCCCCTCTTACTAATATTCATATTACATCAAAGTACTTTCAATAAATCTCTTGCAAAAGACCCCAGCACAGGCAACAGGAGAGTAGATCATCAGTGGGGAAATCTGAACTTGTTGACTCTGCATTGATGCACTGAGCCGGCTCTGATTCGTCATCACAAATCTGCTGAGATGGCGATTTGTGTCTCCTGTCTTCTCCTCTCCACCAACTGGGCTGAAGGTCAGCCGTCCACCAAACCCCGCCACCCGCCTGGTCAGTGAATCAGTCACCTCATGTAATGTGTCAGAACTGGATTCCTTTGGTTGAGTGGCGCTGCAGAGAAACGGCAGCGGGGGGAATTCGAGGGTCTTGTTATTCTGGATGTCATGGCAGGGTCGTAGTAGTTTTTGTAGCTCACCTTTGCTCTGATTAGTCCGGGGAGTGACGTCCGTGTGGGGTGAGAAGGTTCAAGTAGCTGGCTAACGAGCTGCACCCCTGTGGTGAACACATCGTCTGGATGGACGGGCGGACGGACAGATGAGGACAATGAGAGACGAACTGGTGGGAGTTCTCAGTGCAGTTTTGCTGTTTATGACCCATAATGATGCTTTCAGTGAAGAATGACTCCCTGCCTCCACTTGTTTACTGCTGTTGACTTGGATTTCTTCTCCTCATATATAATACTTGGCTTGAATTAAACACAGCATCACAGAGATGATCAGCCCTTCAGCAGCATCACTCCTTCATGGCTCTCTGTTTTTGACTTCCTGTTTACATTTTTTAAGCTGAGTTAAGAACAGTATGTGCTTTTGTCTTGAGTCGAGGGTTTAGAGTCATGATGCAAGACTCTCTGGCTTTTCTCTTTCTGCTCTGCTTCATTGCTGTAACACAAACAGGGTGAGAAACAGCCAGATGCCGGCAGCACAGGGTGTACTCTGGTGACAGGCCTATCAATAGTCAGTGTTTTAGAGCACTGGCTGAACTGCTCGTCCGTATGCATGCAGTTTGCTGCATTCTTTCGCAGCGAGTGGCCATTTGTACATTTTAGTGGCTGGCATGATGACAAAATATGACAACAAAGATTAGTGTGAAACCTAAGAAGCTTCCCACTGGACAAAAATGAAGCAATTAATCTACTGTAGTTAACCGAATCCAAATAAAGATGTAATTCTGGCCACCGGCAGCTCGACTGCTCTGAGCTACAGGCTTTGGCCACTAAGGTTTGAAGGTGACTCGTGCTGCACTGTTTACCGAGGTTAACTTAGCACAAGTTAAAGTTTGCAAATATTAGCCAGCATGAGTTATCTGGTCAAACTAGACCAAGTAAGACTGTAACAGCAGAACTCGTGAGTGAGCTGAACGGGGCAAAGGTGTGTTTTATGTCACCTAAAATAAACGCTTCATGTCATCTTGTTGTACTGACGGGTCCCCTCATTTAAAGGTGCAGTCAGCAGTTCTGGAGAAAGATTGTTGATGCTGTGATATCATTGGATTGGCTGACATGTACCATCACTCCCACTGCCTCCCCACCAACATCAGCATCAACACTCTGGTGTCGTGTTGTGTTGATCGGTGCCAGCTTCTTTGCTTTCAGTTTGTACAATCACAGCGTACAAACACCAGGTTTTTTTAATGTACAATTAAAACAGACAGACTAAAAGTTTACTGGATTTCAATCACATACTTTATGTGTAATGCCCAAACCTTCATCACTGAAGCACATTAATGAGGAAGCTGCCAGGAGAGTCTGTCTAGTCTGTACTTATGCATGTTACCAAGTAAATCATAGATTTTCTTTCTCCTTGAAGCCCCAGGGTGGTGGTGTTTCCCATAAATCACTTTCAGATTTTGTGGAAAAGTCTGCTGTTTGGAGTGCTTATTAGTGTTTAAATGACCTTACTGTGTATTCAGGTTGTAAGCCGTCTGTTCTGTCTCCTCTTCATAGCTTCCCAACATGTTTGGAGACCTGAGGTCCACCTTCATCGCCCTGATGATTGGATCCTATGCTTCCTCTGCTGTCACGTTCCCCGGCATCAAGGTAACATCTCATCTGTCACCTTCTTCTCCTAATTCTTGATGTACCCCAAATATTCATCCATCTGTCCTCATCCGTCACATCAGTCTTCTACATGAAAGGTGGCATTTACTATAAGAGAAAAACACCCATGCTATGAGACAATGTGTTATTGATTCTCCATTATGAAGTATTTGTCCGGTCCTGTCTGCCTGTCTGCAGGTGATCTATGATCTGGGTGCCACCTTCATCTCCATCCTGCTGGTTTGGGCCGGCTGTGCCGGCCTCGTCTTCCTCAACTGCTTCATCAACTGGCCTCTGGAGCCTTTCCCAGGCCCAGAAGACATGGACTTCACGTAAGACAAACACACACACTTACTCCGCTACACACACAAAGGCATGTAAACATGTGTGTAGCCTGCAGCCACAGTTAAGCAGCCATTGTAATGTTATTAGCTATCCTCAGGTGATGTTTTCTCTACATTGATTCCGGCTGAGCCTAGACAGGCTGCATACACATGTGTAGGACTGCACAGACACGCTTAGTGCAGAAAATCCCAAAGTAATGCAGCAGAGACCAAGTGAGTCCTGAAGGGGAAAGACCATAAAACCAGATGATGGACCGGCTTTGCTCTCATTTACTGGGATTTTGTATATTTCCTGTCCGTCTCTGCTGGCATGCTTCCTTCCTCTCCTGTTCTTTATACGACACGTCTCTCTGCTTCGACCCTCACCTTCTCTCTCTTTCCTTCATTCTCTCAGGGTGAAGATCAAGTTCAGCTGGCTGGGCTTTGACCACAAGATCACAGGGAAGCAGTTTTATCGCCAGGTGACCACAGTGGGCCGGCGTCTCAGCGTCGGCAACTCAATAAAGCAGCAGCACCAGCCAGCCAAAGACCTGGCCACTCAGGAGGGCAACAAGCTGTGTCTGTCCACCGTCGACCTGGAGGTGAAGTGCAAGGGCCAGGAGCAGAGTAAGTCGGAAACAGAAGATCCTACTTTGAAAATTCTGCTGTTAGGTGGTGGTACAGTTGAAGCCGAACCAAATGTGAAGTTCTCCCTGTACGAGCCCATTCACCACTTTTCTTAGTGGCTTTTGTTTCCGTCTGATTATGAAAAGTGGGATCCCTTCATACAGCTGATAGAAGTCACTGCTGTCTGCGTCACAGATACGTGAATCAGTGCTCCTTAAAGGATTCAGCCTCGTGGAGAGCCAGTCCCACTTTGTGTTGTGTCCTTTTTGCCAACTTATGAATATTTATCTGAGCACCTCAAAAGCCAGTCTGGCCTTGTGACTGAATGAGGCAGGAGAGTGGTTCTGTGTGCCAGACTGTCTGAAAGCTCGGTGACGGACAAAGACCTTCCAGACAAACAGTCCGTCCCACGGCGGTGGGCAGCAGCAGCCAAAAGAGCCGTTTATAAAGACCTTCATTGACAACCAAGTCTTAAAGCTATGTCGTTTCTATTTTCTACTTGTTTGTAAGATTATGGGTCTTAACTGATAATCCCATGTGCACTAAAGTATTCAAATTGGTGTGAGAAGCTTTGTCCCACTTTAATAGAATGCATAAGACCAAAGCTGGTCCTTAAACCCCTAAATTTAGCTTCTTTTTAGGAAAAGCTTGTTGAACAGAACATTGAACACAAACAAAATCGAGATCTAATCGCAATTTATTTTAGTTGACAGGAAGTCAATATAAAATATTCTCTTTTGTACATTGTATGAGATACAGACTCCAAATGAATGCTAATGTTGCTAATGTTCCTGTTAGGCTAGCTCGTTAGCCAGCCTTTCTGCCACAATGGCTTTAAAAGGCAGCAACACTGTAAAGCCGTGTGTGTTTTCAGCTGTTTCTGTTCCACAAAATATGTTCATTTAGCTTCACCTTGTTCTCCCAAAAACACTTAAAGAAGAGAAGCTTTGAAAGAACTCCTCAGACGTTCATGATCAGAGTGCTGCTGGATGTAAAGCCACCGTATGATGAAAACATAAACCCAGAGCCCTGACCTACATCTGTACACAACAATTAGACACAAGCACCCCAAACATCTCGATGGTACCGCTTCACTTCCTCTGCCCTACATCCACACTAGGCTAACCTCTGTTACCCCCACACCCCCAGGCCTCCTCAGGCCCTCCTGGCTCTCCCCCCGGGGTCAGAGACTCTCAGCGGGTGGGTCTGGTTGCCCCCCTCTCGGTCTCTTTGGTACCAAACGGACCGTGGAATTGGTTCGGATCTCGTTGTAAGAAAAGCTGCTCAGCAGGTGTGTGGCGCGCTGGCAGGGAGCTCTCCAGATGCATTGTTGTGGATTGAAGTGTCGTTCGAGTGTGTGTCTGTTTCTGTGTGTGTTTGGAGTGTGTTCAGGATGCCCATGGTTGGTTTCATAACAGCTGGACATGTTCCGTCTGTCAGGAGCTTTAAGGAGGCCCGTATTACACACAGACCCGTTCCCCTCTGGCTCTGCTCTGATCTGACAGCAGCCGTGGAAGTCGCAGAGTTTCTGGATCTCAGGCCTTGGTTCTGTTTGCTCTGCCTCCTGAGACCTGAAAGGACTCGTTAACATTTCTGTCGGTTGTTTTTTTACTCGTAACAAACATCAATCATGCGATTGTACTGATTGATTAGATTTGTATGTTAAAATGTAAGAAGTCTTGGGCTGTAGCTCACCTGGTTGGGCTGTAGCTCACCTGGTTGGGCTGTAGCTCACCTGGTTGGGCTGTAGCTCACCTGGTTGAGCTGGCGACCCAGGTCCAGGTCCAGGGACTGCAGTCTCTGATGCAGTGGCCGTGGGTTCGAATCCGGCTCATGGCCCTGTGCTGCAAGCCTTCCCCCACTTTCCTGTCTCTTCTTCGACTGTCCTATCTAATAAAGGCTAAAAAGTTGAAATTCTTTGTTTTTGTTGCTCCTCCTCAGCCTTCTCTTTGATCTCATACATTTTGTGCTGCTGTTTTTTTACTTGATCACTTTTTTGTACTTAGTTTTGGTGGTAAAAGATGCACATTTTGTTTCCTGACCTAATAATGCCTCAAAGTGCTTATAAAACATTACAATGCGTTACGAGCTTGACCAAACAATTCCTTTAATTAAGCCTGAGCTGGATACCTGTTGTTCAGGGCAATAAACCCATCTGCTCCATCTGGACACCCACCATTAATTGCTCCGTCCAGCGCTTCACCATATGGACACTTTCCATTTATTTCCACAACTTTGATTAATGATCAACTCTTCCTCAAACCCACTTTTCTCTGAATGCTCCATCCTCTGTGCCTCTCGGTCGTGTTGAGACGCGTTGCCGTGGCACCCAGGGGCCGGTGGGGATATTTAGATGACAATCTCTTCCACCTGAGCGGGAGGTGGACCCGGGGGGAGAAACATTGAGGTGGTTTGCATCATGTGAAAAGCGTTTAGAAAATGAAAACAGATTCCTAGAAGCAGAGGCATGTTTGGACTTGCAGCTGTCTGTAATGTACATGAGAGTGGAGAAAAATAAATCATCTTCATATAGGCTGTGTGCTGAAATGCTGTGACTGGCAGGACATGTGCAGGCAAAGCTGGATCGTACCTTTTGTTTTGTTCTATACAGTTCCCTGTTAGGCCAGGTGTTGTTAGCTGTTCTGTGTAAGAACAACGTAGTGGATTTTACTGACGGGAGGGTGAGATTTTTATTTGAATGCTAACAAGCTGAATTACTCTGAAAAACATTATACCTGTTAAACATAGTGATCCAGTTGCCTGCAGACATCCTCAGAAAGCCACAAGGCTCCCTCTAAACATTTGGCCTTGTTCCATAATAGATGATCAAGTCCTGCTGGATTTACGTGCCGTATGTGGAGCCCCTGATACCACGTAGACTCTCGTCTGAGCGCCTTGGAGTGAAAACATGTTCTATGATGATCAGGTCTTGAAGGCAGTGCCCCGTTCTGTCCTGAGAACTCACATCCTCTGTTGATCACAGCATTTTATCTGTTGATGAGAACAGGTATCTCTGAGACCATGAATGCAGAAGCTGTGGTTTTCTGCAGAACAACAAGTAAAACAGGATTTGGCTGCACAGGTCTGCACAGGGAGCAGTCTGTAGCTGAGCCCTGTGCAGTGTACAGGAAGCACACCGTGGGAGCAGCAGCCCCACTTTGTCTGTTGGGGAAACATGAATGATCAACTTATTTTACAAAAGCAGCAGTGACGCATTTTGAAAAACTCATGACTCCATGTTGCTGACCAATATTTGATTTCTTTCTGGTTATTAACAGTGATTTGATCTGCCTCTGACTTTAATGACATCTCCTCTCTCATTTCCTGTGCAGCTCAGTCTTTCATGAAGAGTATCTTCAGTCCCATCTTCCTGCTGAGCCTCATCACCATGTGTGTCACTCAGCTGCGCCTCATCTTCTACATGGGAGCCATGAACACCATCCTGGAGTCTCTGACGGACGGAGACCTCAGCACAGGTGTGTGTCGCTGCTCGCAGATTGAAGTATTTCTGAAAACACTGATGTTGTTGTGTGAATGGTTGCTTTTTAACACCTCTCTAACATCCCTGTCATGCTGGCTTCCTGCTGCTGATGCAGTGGAGAGGATGGAAGTGGGTAAGAGACCTGAGGCCAGACTAACCACCTACACTGTTCACCCTCCCCTCAACCGTCTGTCCACTTTAGCTGTCTTGTCTAGAGCATGAAGTCTGGAGTCCAATGTGTAGTCACAACCCCCAAACAGCCCCATCCTGTCAGTGTCAACGTGCATCGCCCTCTAAACTCTTCATACCGTTCATTTCATGTCCAACATCCTCATACCTCTCAGTAATAACTCTGTCTCTGCTGTCCTCTGTCTCTCAGTGAGCGTGTACACCTCCATCTTTGGCGTCCTCCAGCTTCTGTGTCTGGTCACCTCTCCTGTGATTGGCTACGTCATGGACTGGAAACTCAGAGAGTGCGAGGACGAGAACGACAAGAGTGTCAAGAGGTGAGTGTGGATGTGTTTAGTCATATCTCACAGGGACGATAAGAAGAAGCAAAAGCGCTGATTCTAGTTCAATGTGTTCTATCAGAGAGCCTGGTCAGCCCCGCCCCCCCAGCAAGCAGATCCAGAAGATCATCAACGCCACCAGGGCCTTCATCTTCACCAACCTGCTCCTGGTTGGCTTTGGAGTCACCTGCATCGTCCCCAACCTGCCACTCCAGGTACACAAACAGCGGCCAGAGCTGTTTCAGTAGAATCTCTGAGAGCTGGTTGTGGAGGTCCACGTTCCCGCTATGTGCTGCTGTAGCCCCGAGTCTCGCTCATGGGGGGAGTTAGCACTGCAGAGGGGGAGAGACTGAGAGATGTACACGATGTTCATACAGGACGCATTCACATGCGCTGCAGCTCCTGATGTTCCTCAGTGTTGTAGTGCCACCTACTGGACAGAACTGTCATTGCGTGTTATTTACCAAATCTCAGGTGTCAAAGATGGAAAACCAGTTCTTGGTAAAAACAGGGAAGCTGTGACCTGATCTGGTATTTGATGAAAATAAAAATATCCCTCTCTCTTTTGTCCTCCTCTTCAGATTCTGTCCTTCATCCTGCACACTATCGTCAGAGGCTTCATCCACTCTGCGGTCGGAGGCCTCTACGCCGCCGTGTAAGTGTGTCACATGTTCAGCAGATGAAAACATGGCGATAGCAATGACAGAGTTCAACACTTCAGCACTGTGGATACACAAAATGGGCAAAAAATATGTGGACATTTCTTATCTGCATTCAAACATATGGGCTGTTAAATTCCCCTGTATCAGCCCTAATGGGATAAAAAGTGGGCATTACTGGGAACAAGCTGTGGAAACTCGCCAAATGACTGCAGCTAAAAATAAGCTCGATACCTAAATCTGAAGGAAAGGTGATTATCGGCTAGTTTCCTCTGGCTTTCTCTAAATGATTTATCTACAACCATCAATATTACATAGCAGTGCTTTAGGGCCAAATGATGTCTGATCAACTTGCACACTGATTCTTCATCTGATTTAATTTTTCATTCACTTTAACCTGAAGTGTATGATCAGGTTTGTTATTCAGACATCAAGTACTACCTCAGGTTAGTTTAACTTGCTGTTTGCCGTCCCCTGCAGGTACCCGTCCTCCCAGTTTGGCAGCCTGACGGGCATGCAGTCTCTGATCAGCGCTCTGTTCGCCCTGCTGCAGCAGCCTCTCTTCATGGCCATGGTGGGACCCCTGGACGGAGACCCTCTATGGGTAAGATGACACCAATATGCACTTCATGTCCCACCGCTTTGTAGAACATCCCGTTTATAATCATAAAGTCCTGAATCATTTCCTGTAGAACCTGTAGTTAGTAAAACAGCCCGTTTATCATCAGATTAATGTCATAATCCTGGTTTTTGTCTGAACGAAATTCCCCAAAACTGACTCCAGGAAGGGCTGCAGGGTGGCGCAGTTGGTAGCACTGTTGCCTCGCAGCAAGAAGGTCGCCGGTTCGCGTCCCGGTGGGGGCACCGGAATCTTTCTGCGTGGAGTTTGCATGTTCTCCCCGTGCAGCGTGGGCTTCCTCCCACAAGGTCCAAAAACATGCTGAGGTTAATTGGTGATTCTAAATTGTCCGTAGGTGTGAATGTGAGTGTGCTTGGTTGTCTGTCTCTAAGTGTGGCCCTGCTGGATGGCGACCTGTCCAGGGTGTCCCCTGCCTTCGCCCTAAGTCGGCTGGGATAGGCTCCAGCCCCCCCCGCTCATCCTGGATGGATGACTCCAGGAATAACTTTTGCCCGTTTAAAGCCACAGTCGGCCGATCGTTACGGCTCACGGGCCGAGCGTCGGTCATCACAGCCCGGTCAGCCACGGAAGACAACATGTTGGTTTGTTTGTCGATTACCTGCTCACCTGAGATCTGATCACTGTCTGATGATAACCAGGGCACATCAGAGAGTCACGTCATCACCGACCTGCTCAGCTGGTTAATCATGATGCGTTAATCCTCTGATTAAAGGAAATAACTTTTATTGATGGGGTGGCTTTTCATACTGACAAAGGTGACATTTCACTGAAGCAAAACCATAAAGCTCCGTTTGAATTAACGTTTCTTCATCTTCAAAGGATCTTGTGAAAGCATTCCCATTTTGGCTTTATACATCGTCACACACACACGGTTTTCTCAGTGCTCTTTCGTTGCGGCACTTCGATACGCTAATCTGGACGCTTGCTTATTGGAATATCCCGGATAGTCAGAACTCCATCCCGGACCGAGGGCGTGATGATAAACGGGCAGCACTGTATAACCAAATAATGAGTGCACTGGAATGTTTTACATCGCTGCTTATTCTGACTCTTATATCGTCTTCAGGTGAACGTGGGCCTGTTGGTGCTGAGCATGCTGGGATTCTGCCTGCCCCTCTACCTGCTGTGCCACAGCCGCCACCTCCAGCGCCTCAGAGACGAGCGCGACGAGGATCCCAAGATCTACGTCAAGATGAACAACGGCAGCTCGCCCGAGGCCTGCGTCTAGACCGCAAGGAGGAAGAGTCTCTAAAAAGCGGAGAGGACGAGCTACGCTAAGAGAGAAGGAGGGCGGAGGAGGTCTTCTACCTGTGTGACACACCTTTTACATTCCTCACACACACACACACACACACACTGTACACTGCTACATGACTGAACACCACTGTGACGCCCACCTTCACCCTCTCTGACACGAGACGCTGTGAAAACCTGACACACACACACTCGGCCACACGGGGAGCTCACCGTCCCTCCACTGCACCTCCCAACTGACTAAAGGGAGACAAGACGACTGGTTTTATCTCCTCCACGTGTCTCCCTCTTCACATCTCGCCATTTTTATTTCACGCTGCTACATCTGTCACTGACGGCCAACTGGTTTCGCCTCCACCAGTCCTACACAGAAACCACAGGAGGAGACGATGCCAGCCAAAGGAAAACCACAGCGAGGACAGTTTTGGAGACAAATGTAAAAAACAATCTCAGTGACAGTGTTGGTGTGTTGTGAACATTTTGGACTGCAGTAACCATGACGACCTTTGGATTGCTTCAGGGTGGTCTGAGGTGCTGCTCATCCAGCCAACCCTCATCTATCTCAGACATGTTTATATGTGAGAACAAGTACACACACACACACACACACAAGTAGCATCCTCAGTCATGGCATCTCCGCTTTCCTCTTGTGCTCGAGGGCATTAAGTGAATCCACAGGAGGTATCAGTTCAGGTTGAAATTCATACTGCGACAGCTTTGTGATCAGCACACAACACTCAGACAAGTCAGTCGAGGAAGCACCGCAGCAGCATCTCTGCGTGCGTCTGTGTTAGCTAACGCAGTTTGATGGTTTAGTTTCTGCATGATGCCAGAGACAGTGCTGGTCCTTGATTTCACTGGTGCAGGAAGACACAACCAGCTGCCATGTTTTCGTTGTACGTCCATACATTTGGAATATGTAATCGTTTATGTATTTACTTGCAATATGATCTCAGATGCGTTGTTTAATCTTTGTTCCTTATGCATGAGCTGATTATGTAAAGGAGGAGATGTGCTTATAGCAGGGAGACGGGACAAAGACGTTAGACATCGTGTGTTTTTACAGGTCGGAGCGGCGCTTATCGTATCGCTGCTCACATGAACTTGGGTTCTGGATTCGTTGTAGCAATAAGTGCTCCTGCGAGGTGCTGGGCGACACGTCGACGCACCGTCACACACGGACAGGCAACGTTTTACGGACTCTGTTTCTGAATCGCAAAAGGTGCTAGTTGAATCACAGAAGTTTGTGTTTTGCTTTAAGACGCTGTTGAGGTCATTTTTCAAAGGCAACAAATTGCCGCCAAATTCCTACTAAGAGCATGTTTTTCTCTACACGGTGGACTCCAAAGAACCAATCAGCTTACCATTTCTAGTTACCTTTGCTCTTTGTTTCTTTTCTTCTCTGCACTGTAACACAAAGTGCAACCGCAGCAGCAGCAGCTCTGGGAAACTTAAATTCACCTCTTACAGACATAAAGGGAGATTTGCTCGGAGGTAGCAGGCCGATAGAGACGTCCAGCTTCTGAGAAAAGAAGCAGAGCGCGATGAGACTAAACCCAGACAACAAAGAGTCTTTGTATTTGAAAGAGAAGCCCAGAACAGAAGCGTGGAGTGTGTAGACGATGATGCAGGGAGATAATAACTCAGTCTGCTCTCTCCAAATGCCGTGCAGCGAAGCTCCTCACATGTTTTTTCCTGCCGGGCAGTAACTGACAGAAGCACGTCCAAAGACAGCCCTGACCCTCAGAGTGCCTCTCTGTGATGGGAGGAGTGGATCCAGGCAGTCCCTCTCTGTCTCCCTCCATCTATCCATCCATTCATCTGTCGCTTTCATCCAGCAATTCAAACGTGTCTTGAAATGTTTACCGTTGACAGAGCTGAGAGACGAGCCTCTGCTGCCATCGGACGCCCCCAGCGAGTGAGAATTGAATGGCACATGATGCACTTTAGACCTCCAAAATGGACCTCAGTCATGTATTTCTGAGCGGCCTGCATTGTACACGCGGTGCACGGCTGCTTTTATGGGGGTGCATGATGCAAAGAATGTAGACTCAGAGCTTCGGATGTAGATTTGTACTTCAGAACGTGGGATCAGAAAGATGCTGTTATTTTTTTATACTCAGATTTTAAAAAACCTATTGCTTCACATGTTTGTTGTATCGCCTTTATGTGCAAGGACAGCGCGGCAGGGGCTCGTCTCTCAGTTCAGGAACCTTCATCCGTCATGCCAATCACAGCGTGTTCTAAATGAGTTCAGAAAGAAGCTGAGGGGAATGTGTGGAGTCAAACTGGTGCCGAAATTCTTGAAACGTACTTAGGTGGAGGACATATGTGAAGAGAGTTTTGTGTCGTGGGAAACAAGTGGTGTACATGTGTAATGAAAGATTTCTGCACGGTGAGCTGAATGTTGCATAACACACACTTTGTGGGTGTGTGTAGGAAAAGGAAGCACCTTGATTGTTTAAATTAAAAATGATATAAATCCACCAAAGTCCCGACCAAGATCCATGACTGAAGCTTTTCAGACATGAACCTACACAGACGACATGCAGGAGTTCACAGCTTCTGTTTACGTTGCTTGATCCAAAAATGGTGTAGAATCTGTATTTATCCATCTGCTTATGTGGGTGATGGCTGTGATCTGAATCATGTTTTATTTGTCAGTCAGATAAATCCACAGAGACTCGGAGCACATCCGTGGCTTTGAGAGACTTTACAGTATGTGTACAGATCTTCTCTTACAAATCTACAGCTTCTGTTTCCACTTCACAAAGCCAGATTTATGGTACACCTGTCATTAGTCAAACGGATCAAGGCACTAGTTTAACTCCACAAAGCCGATCTCTGGTGTGTCCTGTAGCTGAAGTCGTTGTGACTGGAGGTTGCAGCCAGGTGCAGATGCAGCGACATAAATGTGGGTAACGATGGACGTTGATTTTTTGATTTGCCTGGTAACCCGTTGTGAACGCACTCTCAGCAGCAGCGTGATAATAATGTCACTTCCAGGCTGTTTGTCTTGGATTGATGTCACACATGTAGCGTCATGTGATAACTGAGCCTGGCTGACTGACTGATGAGTTCATTGGGAACCCAATCAGCACCTTCCTTCACTGCCGTACCTTAAACATCTCATGCTGCCCTCAATGCCATCATCTCCCTGGCCCAACCCCAACCTCCTTGGAGAGGGATTGTTCTCAAGTTTGGTTTATGATCGATGTATTGATGAACTGTTTGTTTATTTGATGATGAATTCCCGGCGTCGGTGTTTGGTTTTGGGCGTTTTAGGCTCTGTGTGATGATAAGAAACAGATATGAGCTGAAACACTGACGCTGTGTTCCCTTCTCTTTTTTTCTGCTCCATTTTAGTTGTGTTGTCTTTTATTAAGCTTCTTTTTCTCCATCTGATGTTTACGAGAATGTGTATTTTAATGATCTTACGTTGTATATTTGGTTTTCTTTCGTCTTGTACCACAGTATAGCCATTGTCATTGACTTTTCAAGACATGCTGTTTCAACTGAAAGAAAAAAAAAAGACAGATCATTATATGAAGCAAAATAAACACGATAATTTGTATGGATGCGTCTCTTATTTCAATGGCAGGGATGTGCAGACGTCTGTGTGCTCGGAGAGGAAGAAAAATACTTCTCCAGAGCAGCAGGGGTCAGACTTTCTCTGTCCGACCGATGCTGGTTTCTGCATGTAGGTCGAGGCGGTCATTCAGTGTAAAGACTGAAGAAAGTTTCCATCTGACCGTCTCACAAGTAGCTGTTTGTTTATGCTAAAAACCATCAGTATGTCTAAGGAGGCAATGCAGAATTTGACCTTGAATATTTTCAAGGTAGTGAGGCCTTCAAGTACACAGCCAAGAGTTGAAAATTTGTGCCTTTTCATTTGTGTTCCTCCCAAAATGTAAAATTTCAGATTCTGTTTACCAAAGGAATTAAAACCATGATAATTGTTTGCACGGCTTCATTAAAAAGCAGTTTTGACACAGACGGTGAGCCTGCTATCAAAATGTGACGTGTTATGACCAAACACTGATCACACATGGCCCTTGAACATCTCCTCAGAAGACTCCTTTTAAAGGTTTCTCTGGAGACTTCTCAGGATGGAGAGAAGACATCCAGGATGCCACTGCTTGTTTGTACGACTCCATGTGATAGACAATGAACTGGTGCAGTGTTGCTGCTGAACACATGATACATCCCATAATAATAATAATAATAATAATAATATCAGTGCTCAAAGTTGGTCATAGAAAAAAATCGTGCTCAACAAAAAGCTGTTTGTGAATTTAATTGGTTTTGTATGAAGTGATGAGGGCTCAAAATGCTGGACCAGTATTCTGAAATAAAAAGCAGAACATCTGGACCCGGTCCTTGGACCTGTGAGGGCCTGTAACTCCGAAAACACACGGAGAGTGAAAGCACAGTTTGGCATGGCATGATTAGATATACTAAAGCTGCTGTACACAAAAAAGAAAAACTAAACTTTGTTGGTTTTTGGGTGAAATCAGCCAAATAGGATTCACACAGAAGTGACATGAGTTGGTTTTGTGGGTAAACCTGTCGGACAGCTGACTCAGCGTTCCCTCAGAGTGGACAACAACCCGAGTCATGGCAAGCAAACGGGTCAAACCAGAGAGGACGGGTTCTCCCTGGACTGGTTTGACCACAGCGGGGCATTGAAACACTCACGCACACACACACACACACTCACGCACACTCACACACACACACACACACACACACACTCACGCACACTCACACACACACACACACACACTCACACACACTCACACATACACTCTCCAAGAAGACAAACAGCAGCACACGGTCCACGTGCACCAGCCGATGAGCTCTGATCACTACAGATGTTACCAAGTGCATGATTAGAATCACTATTTGTGTGATAATCAGACATTAAATCACACCTGTTGGGCTCGTGAGGATCTCTGTGTCATGTGACTTCTTTGTGCTTTGCACCACGACAGTGACATCATCAGCCCGTGCTCTTATTCTGAATCTATATTATGATTATGATGAACAAAATCATTGTCAGTGTTGAATCGGTACAAGCAGCCAGTCTATGATCTTGTATAACAGCAGTAATAAAAATGAGAAGTAAGTTAAAGTTCGTGCTGCAGTGTGAAGGTGGACCGACTGCACCTGAACGCCTCACGGAGCTACCTGACGCTAAGGTGGGAGTCTCCGCCCCCCGGACGCCGCGCCCCTCCGCTCACACACGGCTCCTTCCAGGAAGAAGCCCCGGCCGGAGAGAGAAGCAGTGCCAGGCGGTGAATGAGCGACTCGTGCCAGCCGTAGAGACGCTCTGTTTCCGGGTTTTTCCGCCGCTGTTCCTCCGGACACACAGTCAACATGCTGATTAAAGAATTGTGAGTATCACAACTTTAAAAACAAACAACAGCTTCGGGTTTAACAGACAGAAAAGCGAAACACACTATCTACAAACCTTACAAGAGCCTCTCAGGATAGCGCTGTTCTTCCTCAGAACCAAACTAAACCTTGTTTTTGTGTCTCTGGTTTCATTCTGCGGCGTTTCAGCACCTTCGCCTGGTTGAGTTGTTGGAACTCCCAGAACTCCATTTACCGATCGGGCATTTTAAACTTTATTTGGTTGTTGGGACAAAAACAAAATAGTTCCGTTTGAAGAACGCAAGCTTTTGGAAAACTATGAGAGTGAAAGTAATTTCGGCACAGATGGATTAAGTGTTGTGTCTGCAGCAGCGGTGTGATTCAGTTAAACGTTCAGCCTTGGCTTGAATCAGGAGCCACCGGCCGAGGCCGGTTGGACTGCTGACACCTCAGAGCAGCTCGATGAAGGAGGAAGTGTGATGTCCTCTCAGTCCCCTGTGTGGGTTCGGTTGGCTCATAATATAAGAACTCCTCTCATAACAGCTATCAGTTCATATTTCATAAGACGTGGCCTTTAATTTATAGGAAAAAACACTTAAAATAGGCAACAGCTCGGATAGTTTAGGACTCAGGAAGTCAGATTTGTTGATGTTGTCAGATATCACAAATGTGCCTCAAAGGAGCTCATTGAGAGAAGCCAGTGAATTAGAGACGCTCCTTATTTCTGCGTTCCTTTGACTCCTGAGCCATGCAGTTTTCTATCTGTCTTGTCATTTGCACATCAGTGCTGGGAGGACATCATGGAGCTGTCATCTGACCACAGTGCAAAGTACAGGATCAGGCTCAGTCTGTGCTGGAGAGGATCGGCCTCAGGAAGCTGCCTGTAGTGTGGAGCAGGCAGCACTCACAACCTGTCAACTGTCTTTATTTGTCAGTGCAGCCGAACATCCATGGTTTTCATCACACCGGCCGTCCTGCTCGTGCCTGGGAGGCTCCTCTTCCACTCTGATCTGTTCTAATGAAATATTCAGGCCCTGCTGGACCGGCAACAGGTGGCGATTAATTGGCTATTGTAGCGTGGCACACAAGATGCACAAAGAACACACACGGTCCCACACATGCAGGGTTTCCACTGAACTTCCAGCTGTTTGCTCCAAAGCAGCAGCCTTGATTGCAGCTTCATAATTTCCTGTTCCTCATCTTTGTGTTCACATGATAGTAAGACATACGGGCCTTACGACTTCCCAGTGTTCATCATATAAAACTATAAACCAGTCAGTCAGCGCATTGTTCTGCTGCACTGCTCTGATTACATTTTAACTCATGCTGTTACTGTGCAGCGTGTAAAAGGCCTCGACCAGCAGCAGGATGTATGGCTGGATCCCATCTGACCCTCTGAGAAGCTGCTCATGTTTTTCTGTACGGTTGCTTAAGTATATTTAACGAAGCCAAAAAGCACAAAACTTCATCTTTTATACGATGAACATTTTCTGAGTTAAAGGCTTTTAAAGTGAATTCATGTTTTCAGTGTGTTTGAACCCTCAGATCTTAACACGTAGAACAGACACGTGGAGCTTTCAGGGCTGAAGCAGATTGCAGCCTGATCAGTTTTACTTCCACTCCAGATGCCAAAATCAAGTTTTTGCTCAGCACAGCCAACTTCGAGCATCAGGTTGTTCTGGCACAGAAAGAATCATCACCAGAAACTGAGCCTGGTGTCAAAATGCAGGTAAAAATAGGACCAACCATCCACAGCACGCGGTGGCATGAGCCTTGAAAGTCGACCCAAAGTGCTCGTTTGGAGCTTTCTTCAGGAAATGATCAGAATCTAGAGAACACTTTCAGGGTAGACATTTTTATTCCTGTGTGTCGCTGATATTAAATCGGTGCAGTCTTGATACGTTTAGTTTCTCTGCCCTGAAAACATCATGTACTTGTGAAGCTACGATGGCTCACACATGTTGGAAAAGTACGGCATCAGTTATGGTCCATGAAATCAGCTGATTCTGCCTTCATGGCTGCATCTCCAGCTGCTGACGGTGACTTCATCAGTCCATGGCTGAAGGGCCTGTGAAGGAGTGGAAGACTGTGATCTCCATGTCACAATCTTGTATCAGTCGGATCCGTTAAGTGTGATAAAATCAGATGCTGACCCTCCAAATGTAGGTGCAGGATTTCCTCAGCTCTGATTGGCTGAAGGAGCTCCTCAGATGTTACACATGAACATCATGGAGCCCATGAAAACAGCTGACAGTCATGCCTTGAAATTCTAAGTGTGGGTTTGGAAAGACAAATGCTTTTTATGAGACCGCTTCAGTCCAAATAAAACTGTTTTGTGACAGGAAGTGTCAGTGTGCTTTTGGAGCCTCTGCAGCTTCAATTCTGATTTGTCTTTAATTTGCTCTGTCGCTTTTGAGTCCCAAAATTAGTTTTTCTATAAAAGCTTCTTATCAAACAGTAATTAAAGTTTGTAAAATATGCAACAGAACTTACTGACAATACTTCCTGTTATGCTTTATGGATGAAGCAGTCCTGAGACATGCACTTCTTCACTTGAGAAAACTGTGTTACCTAAATGTATACCATTAGCTGGAGTAAGAAGCTAGGTAGCTTAGCTTAGCATAAAGACTAGAAACAAGGGTAGACATAGCAAATAAAGCTGAATAATTCAAATGGCAGATGTTGTTGTTTTTGTTTATTGTGAACAACGCTGCATCCTAAAAACACCAAATTTGGATTTTTCACTCAAAGTTATGTTTTGGATTATTTGTTGGTTGGAAGCAGTTGCCAGGCAACCAGCAGCAACTGACTCTGCAGTTGCTGGTGATGCTCAAGAAATAGGTGCAGATAAAAAGCATTGCTTGCTCCCTGCTCAGGAAATGTCCATTAAGGGCATTTCCCGTGGCCACATTCCTCCATGTGGAAGTCCCTTCATCACCACCAGCGCAGACATCCCATCCTCTGTGTGTTACCTTGGTGACATAAACACTTCCTTTACCCGGTGCTGCCACACTTCACACCGCTAGAATAAAGTATTACATATATAAATAAAAACTGATACCATTACAAAACGTATAGTGTTGAAATGTGGTTTGGTTCATTTTAAAGATGACTTACAAGATTACGCAACCATGCTAGCCACACCTACGCTAGTTAGCCTTGCTAAGAGGCTAGCTATAAGGACATCAACACCTCGTGTGCCAAGAGACACTCAGGAATTTGATTTATAGATTATTTAGGTACAGTTTTTCTGCAGATTGATCAGTATAGTCAAATCAATGACCAGCCTGTGCATGTTCACCCTTCTTTGTTTGCCACTGCAGCAAGGTGCAGTGACTCATGGGTAATCCTTCACATCAGCGTCCATCGAACTGATGAGCCGTTGGTCAGTTCTTCCCTACACAGTTTACAGTTCCCTTTGAAATTAGCATTTTGTTTGCAGGGAGCTACGAGGTGCCATGAACGGATCTGTAGGCACCTGCAACGTTTTCCCTTCACATTGTGGTTTTTGTACAGATTAACAAGACTTCATGTAATTTGTGAACTTCAGAGGTGTCGGGAGGTGAAGTTTGCTCCCTTAAAGATATGAGTGGTTACAGTCTACGTATACAAGTCTCTGTAGTAAAGAGAATAAACATATAGTCTGTAGATAAGATAAACGTCGCCTCCAAATCTGGAAAGTAAGGCCAATAAAGAAGTGCATTAAACCGGCGTTGTTTCTAGCAGCCAGCAGAAGTCCATGAGAAAACCTCTTGTTCTTCAGTCTGCTACCTCAGTAATGAGTTTATGGTCTCAGTCGCTCGTTTAAAGACCTTTTCTTAAGACGGCCTGGTATTCATTTTGAAATCATGGTCCGACTTAGAGACACATGGAGGGTAAAGCCGGTGGGTTGTAGGGAGGGTCGCTCCTCTGTCACCTTATGCAGCGTCTTTGAGTTCTCAGTAGGACCCCCTTCTTCCTCATTACATCCCGTTTCCAAAGATGGTGACAACTGAATCCCAAACTGAAGGCTTTACATCCATGAATCCAGGGCTGATGTCGGGGTGGCTACGTCCATCTTTTATATGATTGTCCAGAACGATGTCCATGTTTCCAAGTGGTTTTCAGCTGCTTTTTGGTGACTGTTTATTACTATACAAAGATTATAGCATCAGAAAGACCTAGAAAGGCAGAAATGCTGACCTGTGATAACATATTATCATCCACATGTTGTTGAGCAACAGACCAGCTGGGATGTCTCCTAATTAATGCCGTTGTGTTTTTTCTGTCTCTCGTAGCCGGATTGTTCTGCCCATTTCAGTGGAGGAGGTAAGGACTCATTCATTCACTTTAACCTGATCAGTGGGATAATTGACATCTGCAGAATGCATACATGCCAGATTGAGATCAACGGCTCGTTTTCAGGCTCATTATCTGTACCGCGTATGGCTTTTCTCATACAGCTGACAATTAGAATATCTGCTCTCTTAATTTTCAGCTAATATGTGTTAAACATTGCCAGTGGTGCTTCACACTTGTTTCTGCTCATTCTGTGTACAAAAAGGTATTTTTCCCCCCGTTTCACATGAATTCATCCTTTATCTCCTCGTTGGGACTTTCTACCTGTCGGCACCAGGTTCTCTTCTCTCTGCTGTTCGCTGATGCCCCTCAGTGACGGCTCCTCGCTGGATCCTGTTTGAAATTCTTTAGCCTGCTCATCAACATATTTCAGCTTTCACCGTGTGTCGGATGTTGCTGCCTTTGGAGATGATTGAATTACACAACAGAGCGGCGTGGGATGTTACACATGCTGC